AGTGATAGGGAACGGCAAGGGACACACTGACAAAGGAGATTAATCAGAACTGGCTTTGACAAGCACTGTGGCAATTGGACAATTAAAACAGACATTGGGGAAGAAGAAGAATGAACTGGGGAGGAGGGTGGAAAAAAAACAGTGCAACAATGAATGAATGAAAACCCAAAATCTCTGTAAATGTTCATTAAAACTAATAAAATTTGATTTAAAAACAGCAAGGATATCACTTTAAAGACTAAGGTATGTCTAGCACAAGCCATCGCTATCTTCAATTGCTTCATATGCAAGTGAAAGCTGGACAGTGAATAAGGAAAATGGAAGAGAAATTGACATATGTGAACTAACGGTATTTATAGAGTACTGAATATGCTATGACTGCCAAGTAACAATTTATGTTTAAAGACTTGAGGCCAGAGTACTCCTTAGGAGTAAACATGATGAAATGTCATTTCATATACTTTGGGCATGTTGTCAGTAAGGGCAAATTCCTGGATAAGGACATCATGTTTGTAAAGCAAAAGGTCAGAGAAGCTGAGAAAGTTCTTCAACTAGACAAACTAACATAGTGGCTACAAAAAAGGGGTTGTACATATAAGACTGTGAGGATGGCGTAGGATTAGGCATGGTTTTGATTTAATCTATATGGATCATTTTCAGTTGGAGTCAATATGATGGCACTTAAACAAGAGCAAATCTCAAACAAAAGAAGAGAGAGACAGGGCCTGCCCCACTCCCCAAGAGCAAAGGGGAGACATACTTATTGATAGTACAGAGGGTCTGAATTCCTTAAGCTCAGCATTCCACTTCTGCAAAAAATCCAGCATATGGAGATACTAACTGATCTTTAAAGCACCCTGGAGGAATTGAGGCATAGGAAACTAGCACAAGAAAATAAATAAAATTTTTACTAGAACTATGAGTCATAAAATCTTTTGTCCCTGATCCAGCAGTTCCCTCTTCTGCCAGCGTCCATGAAATTGTGGCAAGTTTGCTTGCAGTTAGGTTAAAATCTCAATCCACAGACACCTCTAAACATACTAGTGAAATAAAATTACTTCATTTATCTATGCAATAAAATTTTCAAATAGTATACTTTTAAAATAATACTCTAAAAATGTTTTTTTTAAATCTAGTATCTAATAATTTGCAAAATACATTAAATGAAAATTGCTTGAACAGGATACTCTAATGTAAACTATTATTAAAATTCTTGGTTTTGTTGTGTTTATTGTCTTAGCTTGTAGACTTAGGGTGTTCCACTGGAATGTGAACAATGAGTCTGAGGTGGAGTTCTTTTGTTGGAGAAAAAAAATGGAGAACTTCTTTGAAATCATATTCAAGTTACCTTAACTACTGAGTAAGTATTCACTGAATAACCACTGTATGAAACTTTTTCCCCTGGCCTTTAGGAGACACCAGAGTACACCAAACAAAGATGCTTGTCTTTCCTGAGCATATACAGAAGTGAGGGGAGCCCAATATTAAACAAAGTCATGTTAAATAAAGTTATTTATACAATTATTAAAAGGTACCAATGCTGTACAAAATCAAAAAAGTAGGGAAATGATGTCTGAAAATGCTGTGGGAGAAAGTTAAAAATTTTATATAAGAGTTGTCAGAAAGGTCTCATTGAAATGAAGCTTGCCTAAGAGAGTTACCATCGAAGCGCGGTAAAAAAAGTGCTCCACTCAGAGGATTAACTCAATGTCAAGGTCCTAAAACTTGACCTTGTCTGGTGCATTAGACAAATAGCAAGGGGTCAAGGTGGGCAGTGAGGGGGAGAAGTTAATATGGCCAGACCAGTACGAACAACAGAGAAAAAATAAGACTTGAGGTCAGAGAGGTCCCCTTAAAAATCTGGATTTTGTTATTGTGGGTGCTGCTGAACCAACTCTGATTTACACCGACCCTTATCAACAGAAACTGTGCCCTATTCTGTGCCACCCTTAAAATCTCCACCATACACACGCCGATTATTATAGTCACTGCATCAATTCACCTCACTGAGGACTTCCTCTCACTGATTCTCTACCTTTCAAACCATTATGCTCTTTTTCAAAGACTGGCACCTCCTAATAATATGTCCATAGTATGTGAGATGATGTTTCATTATCCTTGCCTCCAAGAAACATCTGGTTGCACTTCCTTCAAGATGCATTTTCCTTCTGTGTGAATTTTTCTTCGGTCGTCCTTATTCAGTCGCCCAACTTTCACTTGCATATGAAGCAACTAAAAATACCATTGCTCAGGTAAGGTACAACCTAGTCCTTTAACTGACATCCTATCTCTTTAGCACTTTCAAAACATCCTTGACAGATTTTTCCCAATGCAACACTTCTTTTGATCTCTTGAGTGCTGCTCTCATAGGTGCTGACTGTGGATTTTCTACTTTTATCATGACGTTACCTATTGGTCCACTGGTGAGGATTTTGGTTTTTGTAAATGTTGAGGTATAGCCCGTACTGCATGCTATATTTAATCTTTGATCTTTCTCTG